TTCTTTTTTTTTCTTTAGCGAACGTCAAAGTTGCGCTGTGGAGCAACATGCTCCACCTCAGTAACCGGCCACTTTTAGGCGACGATACCCATGCGGCACCAAGAGCGGCTCACACTTGCGACGTTGCACAGGGGAACAACGATACGGCTTGCTACAGATTGACTCCTCACCGCTTAGCTCGATATCGTGTTCGATCACCGTCGTGTCTCCGGGACGGTCCGACAACACATACCCAAACTCGGAAACAATCTTTCTCAGGCCCTCTTTCTCAGGTCCTCCGTCACTTAAGCTAGGCTCTAGGTTCAGCTGTTCCCAGATTACTTTCGATCTCCTTTCGATTACCTCACTAGAACTAAAAATTTCTGCTTCCTCTTCCTCTGAAGCACTTAAGAGTAAATTTACGACTGCTTTCAAGTTACTGTGATAAATTTTGTTCGGCCGCCTTCCTAATTTCTCTTCACAATTGGTATCAGAAAGCTTCGATACTACTTTTGCGGGCCCTTCCCAATCAACCTCAAGCTTGTTCCTTTTGGATGGCTGCAGCCGCATTACCTGATTATCAACTTCAAAAGCGCGCTTCTTCCCCGATTTCTCGTAGTGCTCCTTCGACAGCACTTTTGCCGCGTTTTTCTGGCTTTCCACTCGCGCTTCAATTTGGCTTTCCACTAGCGCTTCAATTTGGCTTTCCACTAGCGCTTCAATTTGGCTTTCCACTAGCGCTTCAATTTGGCTTTCCACTAGCGCTTCAATCTGGCTTTCCACTAGCGCTTCAATCGAGAGATCCTCACGCTGCTCTCGAATGAGCGTCTCTCGATCAACTCTCGGCAGCTCGCTCCAACTTTCCGCTACAGGCGAGAGCGTTGCAGCCCTCTCGCTCTGACTCAATGGCGCCATGTCTTCTCCCCTTTCTCCGGAAACCGCGCCGGCCCTGTCGGCGACGGGCCGCTCGCGTGACTGCTCACATGACTCATGCGGAAACTTTCCTTTCTGGGGTTCCGTCGACCCGCCGACAAGGTCACTTGAGAGTTCACCGCATGAAACCAGGTCCAGCTTCCGCGAAAGCTTTCGCGCTTGCGATCGCGTGAGGGCCATGCACGCAAAGCTGGGGAAGAACGATTTGCCCTGCTCTTTGAGGAGCTGCTCGGAGTTGTTGGAGAAAAGATAAGGAAAACGATCGTTCAGCGCGGCAGACACAGCCGCTTCGGTGCGAAGCTTACCGAACGGGCCTTCAATGACAACCGTGGCGATTGGTAAGCGAACACTCTGCTCCTCGGCGACCTGCCTGATCCACGCGCATTCTCCTGTGAAGTCATCCGGAGACACCAATGAAGGATGGACAACGTCCATGGTTGCCGCTGAGTCTCTAAGTGCTCGGCACGTTTTCTCATTGACCCTAATTTCTTGGAGATACGGCTCCAACAACCGAATGTTTTTTTCTGATTCTCGGATTGTTGCGAAAGCAAACTTTTCCTGACAGTTTCTCGCGATGTGCCCTTCCTTTTTGCAGTTGTAGCAGATTAGCGGCTTCCGTTTGTTTTCCGATTCAAATGCCTGTGTGGTAGAAACCTCACTCGATTTCTCCGCTTCTGTTTGCCCTTCCCCTACACTGTCCTTCTTGAAATTACGGTGCGGAGCGGGTCTCCGTTGATCAGGTTTCTTTGAAAAGCCCTCTTTTCTCTCACCCTTTTCAACGCGCACTGCCCTGCTGTGCAACTTTCGGCGAGTATAATACTCCTCAGCTAACTCAGCTGCCTTGTTTAACTGTACGTCCCCAAGTCTGTCCTGCAGCCAAAGCCTGACATTATCCTCGATGCAGCGGTAGAATTGCTCCAATGCAACGCATTCCACCACTTTATCGCGATCATCATAAACACCTTCGCCCTTGAGCCATTCAATTAAATCGGCTTTAAGACAAAACGCGAAGTCAACGTGTGACTCATTCCCCTTTTTAGCATACCGGAACCTTTGCCTGAAAGCCTCGGGTGACAACTTATAACGTCTCAAGAGCACTTCCTTAACCTCGTCATAGCTCTCAAACGCTTCCCTCGACAAGCAAGTTATCGCGTCGGACACTTCGCCGGGAAGAAGAGCTAGCAGGTTCCGCGCCCAAAGAGGCCGCTCCAAAGCGTTTCGCTCACAGACGTGTTCAAACTTGACGAGATACTTCGCCATGTCCTCGCCTACTACGAACGGTGGCAGTTGGTCCCGAATTCTAAAACCGCTGACCTGAATCGTCGGAGAAGCTACGCTAGGCGCCTGCGAATACTGTAGGATTGCCAATTCTAGTCGTTTCAACTCTAGGCGCTCTTGTCTCTCGGCCTCCTCGCGCTCGCGACGTTCTACTTCTCGCCTTTCAGCCTCCTCACGGCGTGCTTTAATATCCACCCAGGCCTCATCGACTTCCTCAGCCGACACTCCCTCATCCTTCATGATCTCAAGGATCGCTTGCTTTCGTTTCGCGCGGCCCAAAGTAATGCCAAGTTCCTCACAAATTTCGATGAGTTCCTTCACTTTAAGGTTCTCCATCGTTCACACTAGCCTCTTGCTGTTTGCCCCTGTTAACAATTTACTTGCCGTACCCACTATAAGTCAACTAGCAAGACGCGCAAGCAATTTTTCACTCTCCCGTGTTTACCCCCTCCGCATTAACTTTGGTTTCAAAGCACTTCGACTTTGCTTGAAACGATCAAAGCTCACTCTAATGCTTCACACAGCCCTTCTCTAAACTACTACAATCTGAGCTAGAGTAGTCTGGTGAACTGAGGGGAAAACATCAGGCACTCACCGCATCGATGTCGCTGACGCCGGCCGATCCCGCAGCTGCCAACCACTGTTGCGAAGGCCGGACCCGAATCCCACCGCTGCCACCACTGTTGCGAAGCCACCTCCGAATCCCACCGCTGACCTCCACTGTTGCGTACGACGGACCGATCCCACCGAAGCCACCACTGTTGCGAAAGACGGGGACGCCAACACGGCCCCGAAGGCGCCACTGCTTCCAACTCCACCGGGAAGGTCACCAGCCGTTTGGTAGCGTATGTTTATCAGCTCGCGACTGCTTCTGCGCAGAGCTGATAAGACGAGCGGACGAGACGACGGTGAGTTAAACAAGGTTTATGTACAGCATATATACAGAGGCGTTACAATTTCGGCACTGGGGCCGACAGAGACTCGAAGAGCCGAGCTCTCCTCTCTTACACATAGGTCAGCTTTTCGCCTAAGACCGCCGACTCACACACATGTCGGCTCTCCGACATGGGGACTCCTCTCTCATAGGACCTCCGATCGCGACGCGCCACAGGGCTTCTTTTATTTACACCGGGTCCAACCAAAATGTCCAATCAGAAGCGCCGCTGGTCGTCAGGGCAGATTCCTCCAATGGGGGTCGCCGCGCCATGCGTCAGACCACCAGACACGCGGACGCCGGCTCGCTTTCACGTGCGCAGCTGACTCAATGCACGTGGGCCAGGGAGGCGCCCCGCGTGTTCACTCCGTCGAGTTGATCGCGCCAGGTGGACTGCGGGCTGGCCTTGACCCAGATTGCCTTTTTCAGAGGCACGGACGTTTGACGAGGACTCGCTGGCATAACAGCCACTAGACCACCGCGGCGGGGCAGCGTAGGTTCTATAGAAGCCCACGTATGGACGGGAGAACTAACAACGTACCTGCCTGCCTGCCTGCCTGCCTGCCTGCCTGCCTGCCCGCCTACCAGCTCATTGACACTTCATATCTACCAAGCAAGGGTGAGAACAGGCTTCAGTAATCTTAACACATGGGCGTTAAGGAAAAGATGACATCGGCAGCTTTGAACCGGGGAATGTATAGAACAGGAATCGAACCCAGTGTTTTGCGATGCGATCAAGTATTCTATTGTACATCCACACCAGGTCTTGGGACTACTTTTCAAATAGACCCTAAATATCGTGAAACACGAATTCTGGTTGTAGTGCTGGCTATCGAATTTTTTTGATAAACATTACACATGTTCTTCTGTGATACAGCCGGCATGTCGAGTTAGCGTGAATTGTGGTTAGGCGTCATCCGCTGAAGCTGATTTATATAGCATTGCTTGCCATCCTCGCGAGCATCAGCGCTTCATATCAACTTACTGCTTCCGGTATTGCTAATATCCGTGATGCTGTTGGTATCGTTATGAAACTGTAAACAACAGGTTGTACGAAACATGTGCGGCTGTTTAACGTGTCTATGCTTGCATTTGTACATATCTTTAGCGCCACTTCAAAACGTTTCTCTCAATAGAAAATTACAACACGGTCCCCTTCCCGCCGCATGCTTCGCGTAACGTCGATTCCCGATACGTGGGATCTGCCAAACGTTTTTTTTTTGTTTTTCATTATAAGGCTGCATCAAACGAATGAAGTACACTCTTAAAAAAGGCAGTGCTACTTACTAACTTTCAGGTAGTAAATTGTCACAATATTCACTACCTAAGTAGTAACTGCAGGAAGTATACCACAGACGTTTACTACCTTAGAAGCAACCAGAGGTAGCAAATGTCTGCGGTCTACTACCTGCAGTTACTACTTATGTAGTGAATGTTGTGACAGTAATTTAGTACCTTAAACTTAACAAGTAGCACTGCCTTTTTTAAGAGTGTACAAGACGTCATGTTGTGACGTCAAGGTGACACGCTAAATCACAAGTGGAACTCGTAACACGCCGGAGCCACGTACTTCATTTATTGTACCGTTGCCAACATCACCGATCACTTTCTTATAATTGAACACTCCTAAGGGTTTCCTATTATTCATGCATTTACAGGCGATTATTTAATCACAATGTTCATACACCGCGTTACCAAGGACGGCCAAGCTCTGTAGCACTCGGGGAATGCATAAGATGGAGGACACACACGTAATCTAACCGCTTTATCACAATAAGTGCGTCTCGAATAAATGCGTTACCAACGACGAAAAGAATGTTTTGACGCGCAATACATTTTGCTTTACACGCAATCAAAATGAAGACGTTCAACTGCATTATTTTTCTGTAGCGGGGCTTCGCCCACCATCTTCCTCTTCGCCGGTCGTCTCTCCGATCGCCCGACGGGCCCGACCTCGCTCCCATCGAGCGAGCGCCGCGTAAACGTGGTCCAGCGTGGTGTCGCTGATGATAAACTCGAGCAGGTTCAATTTCGTCTTGATCGCCTCGGCCTGAGCAAAGAGTTCGCTCCAGGCCAGGCCCATGTCTGGCATGTGGTACTCCAAAAATCCCTGCGACGACGAACAGGTGTGACTGTAACCGATTCTTTTAATGCGTGGAGCTTACTTCAAATGGGCGCAAAGAATTTTTGTCCCTTTCAATATCCTTATGTTTGTACAGCTCAAATGAAACGAGGACGGAGGCAAGGGCGCAGCGCGAGTGCTGTGTCTTGTGCTATTTCATGTGCTCGTTCTATTAGCACTCTGGTAACGTGTGATCTAAGTGTGATCTGAACCCTACAATCTCATGTTAAATAGCAGCATAATCGAACTTTCTTCCACCGCGAAGTCTTTGGGCGTTGTTTTCCATGAACACATGAAATAGAATTATCACACGGAATTTTTATACAATATGCTTTCCAAAGTCTTGGGTGTCTTGAGAAAATGTCAGGGATTATTTCCAGTTCCTCAAAAACTTCTGATATTTAATGCGTTCTTTACATCACATCTGAGTTAGTGCAACCTAATTTGCGGTAATGGAACAAAGCAATCTATTAGTAATCTTATTATCTTACAAAAAAGGCGCTACGATCTGTTGCTAACCTCCCTTTCAATGCCCATACTTCACAATTATTTGCTAAATACAAAATAATCGAATTAAACCTGCTCTACCCATATTCTTTAGCAGTCCCTTTTAGATCTGATACCATAAAAGGTCGCGGCTATATACGTAGTTTAGCTAACTTGCAATTAAATCCTTCAACGCGCCTAAACCGACACTCTGAATATTGGCATGTGCCGAGACCGCGCACAACTTATGGCTTTCAGACATTGAGTTATTGCTTGCCGAATATACTAAATAAATTAGGAATTAATTATGAAAATATTCGCATGATCTCCAATATTTTCATTTTAAATATGCTTTATTTGTGTGTGTAGTATTATTTTTTGTTTGATTACTTCTTTCGATGTATAGCATGTTCGTTTTTGGTTAGTATAGTTTGTTTAAATTTTTTGTTCTGATCTAATGCTTATGCATTGATGGTTTAAACTGTCCTGTGTTTAATTTGATTTTGCCGTTTTTGTTGCCACAGTTGCCATGGGGATATGGGGCTTTGTCAATCTGTTTTATACAGCTTTTTTTCCTCTGTCCCAGCCACTTACTGCACAACTGTACGTGGTAAATAAACTAAACTCAAACTCAAACTCAAGTACACGTTAGTAAAAATTACGCATCTGCATTCATGGCCAGCGAGCACACAAGTAAAATAAAAGTGCACGAAGCCTCACCACCTTGAGGATTACACACCAAATGGCTGCGCCATTGCAGGTTGTGCGGGCGTCTGGTGCATATCTAGAGGCATAACTTTTGTTGGGCTAGTTGAAGTATATTTCACCGAAAGGCGAAAACAACTCGGACACAAGAAGAGACATGAACGAACGCCTACTAGTTTATTTTATTCGAAGAATGCTCGGACTATATGTATTCTCTCTTTTACTTCCATGGCGAAATTGTGTATTGCACAGCCTATCAATACCATAGCGATGTATAGGACAGGGCGGGAAAGGGAATCAAGCGTGAGGAGAAAGAGGGGGAGAGGTAAAGTAAAGCACAGTCATGTTTAGCATATCCACTTGAAATAAGGCAGATTAAACGAGAAGACATGGTGATAAGGACGCAATGAGGACTAGGAGGGGGCATCTAATAGCATTTAATGCGTCCAGTAGGAAGAAACATGTATAGCGTAACGATGTACAGTATTATAGTATAGTATGGTAAGAGTTAGGCAAAGGTAAGTAACGTTGAGCAAATGAGAATGAGGAGGGTAAAGTATAGCATAGTGGTGTACAGCGTCCCACAGCGAAAACCAGGTATACATCCCATCTATGCATAGCCATGCTTACCAAGGCTGTGCATAGATTGCTTAGTAACACATAGAGGGAAGTCTGCGTGAGAAGGATGGGAGTATAGATGAGAGAAATTATACACAGGGCTGCCACTCATGGTAATCACCATCTCAATTTTATGTTGCATGCTAAGACGGTGAGTTTCTTCCACTTTTTCAGTTAGCATTCCAATTTGTTGCTGAGATGCAGCAAGTTAACTCCATTCGTCACTTTGTACATGCCACGAAACTGCCTTGCTCAGGTACGCTACACCGAAACTGTCAAGAGAGCACCGATTTGGAAGTTTTTGGAAGTTAGTATGGGGGCTATAATACAAATATCAATTGTACTGATACGCAGATTGAGAGCGCACCTCGAACTGTTGCTGCAGCTTGCTGTTGCAGAAAGTGTCCGAAATAGCCCGCATCAGCTTGTTTCGGTACTCAAGGTCCTCCTTGTACTCGTCGTGCGTCTTCACCGTCACCGTGTAGCCCTGCGCGAACTTGGCCTTCAGGTGCGCCATCGTGCCCAGGCACTTGAACTCGCCGTCGATCATGATGGCCAGGCGATCGCACACGCCCTCCACTTCTTCCATGCTGCGCGCAATGAACAACGGACGGGTGTATAGGGGGCGCTGGTGGCGGTGGTCTGCGCAGCTCTTTCAGTGCCGCTGGAAGTTGACGTCACGACATTTGGTGCTGCCAAAAATCTGACGTAAGTCCACCGCGGTGGAACTGTGGACATGGGTTGCTTGGCTGGTGACCCCAATGTCGTGGGTTTGATCCCCGCCGTGGCAGTCCCATATAAATGGAGGCGAAACGGTACAGGCCCTTATACTGTACGATGTCAGTGCAAGTTACAAAACACCAGGCCGTCTAAATTTCGGGAGCCCTCTATTGCGGCGTCTCTCATAATCATATCGTGGTTTTGGACGTGAAACTCCGGATTTATTTTAAGAGCGGAGGTAAGGGCGAGGAGCAGACAGGCTCGAAAAAAGTGATGCGCCTGCGTGTCCGATTTATTCCCCTCGTTCGTCATTTCTTGGCAGCGCGATCGGTCGTGAAGTCGTACAACTTGTACCCGTCGCAACTGTAGCAGCAAACTAGCGCCACGCATCGGTGTGATAGGGACCATCCGTAATACTGTGACCTCTTTGCTTCGAGTGTGCCATCTGGTGGCTGAATGAGAGGGTTAAGGAGAAACCAGGGAAAGAACTATTGTGTGAGTTGGAAACGAGCTGGAATTTGGCGATATGAAATACCCGGAAGCGCAGATGCAAGAAAGAAATCTCTGATCCACACTATAAGCGCTTACTGTGAGCATCAGTATTCCTTCTTCATCCTTTTTTTTGTATTCGAGATTTACTCAAGCAACGCGCATTCCAGAAATCACAGACCACTCATCATAATCCCAAGGAATACTCGTTGACAGTTGTGTGTGTGTTAGATGGTGCCGAGAAGAATTGGTAAGTGACCGTGCGCACTTATACTGCTGACTGCGACACAATAAATAATGTGAAAAACCAGCCTGAGACGAAGCAGCACGTAGGAAGCCATACTCGTAGTGCACCATACTCGTACAGCATCTAACCATAATATTTCATTTGCAACATCATACACACTCAAGCAGTTTCTGTTAAGTAGATGAATAACGTAGCATTCCGTGCTAAGGTTACTTAAAAAAAAACATTTGGATACACACTTATCTTCCATACACTAACACCATTTTTTGAGTGTTTACTGCGTAGCTGGAATGGCGCCACCGAAACACGCCCCTCAATGGCGTGAGAAAATACAGATATAATGGCTACATGACACGTAGATGGCGCGCAACCCGAAAAATGACAGCGGCTCTTCCCCCGACTACATTTGGCTGGAAGTGCATAACTGGCGAAAGCCAGAAAAGAACAAGTTGAATATATTTCTCGTGTACTCGCCTAACACGACTGAAAGACGATTGCCTTCCGATGTGACTATTTCACTGAGCAATTTTGCGCGTACGGGTCATTTTCAGTTTTAAACCACGCCAACGTGCTATGAAGTGAACGCACTGCTTATACGTGCCTGAATCCGCGAGGCAAGTAGCTGGTCATGCAAGTTTTTTGCACGATTTGGAATTTATCTCCCAAGGTCACTTTCGCATTAGGTGAATGAATGAAAACTTTACGGACAATGTCCGGAGGTTCTTAGTGGGGTTGGGAGCAAGTACCCCAACCTAGGTGACGGCCTCGAGTCCTTGGACACGGGCGGCTTCTTGGGCGTGCCGGACTGCCCACAGTTGATCAGTGAGGTCGCGGCTGAGCAGAGCCGCCTGCCATCGCGCCTCGAGGGTCGATACTGTCAAACCTTTTAAAAGCATTTGCAACTGCTTTTAAAAACTACGGAACGTTACATTGTGGCGTTACGCCAATCATGCTGGTGTAAAGCGCAGAATCACCCGCCACGGGGGTTTAGTGGCTCCGCAAGTCGCAGGACTGAACCCCGGCCGTGCCGGCCGCATTTTCAATGAAGGAGAAAATGCTTGAGAACCGTGTGCTTAGATTTGGGCACACCTTAAAGACCCCAGGTGGCGAAAATTTCCGGAGCCGTTCCCTACGGAATCTTTCATCTTCACGCTGTGCTTTTGGGACGCCAAACCTTAACCATTATTGCGCAGTATTATTGCGCAACAATATTAGGCGCAAGATCACAGCAGGGATAGTTTTTAGTCAGCGCTGACAGGCACCTGGCGACAAGATGCACGATCTTACACGAGAACGTTGTCACGCAAAAGATGCGAAATAGCACCGAGTTCTACAAAGAGTGGCGCCCTACTCTTTCGTTGCGTCGCCTTATGACGGGCCGGCTGTTTGGACGGCTATGACGTACGTACTTCTAAAGTGTATTGTTCAGCTAGTTCTTTAACCATTGCTAATAATGGCAGTGCCCTCCTGGCCTCAAAGATGAAATGTGTGATCCCATCATTCATCATATCAAGCCCTTGCGTCGCACGAGCCTTATCGTGGTCTGTGACATTGTAGTTTGCTTTATTTTCAACTAATACGCGTGTTAGACACCTCCTTTGTTTATTAGGTATGCATGTTACACGAACACTCCTTTGAAGTTGTTGATATATTATATATCTCTAACAGCAAAAAGACGCGAAGCGGATGTATTATCATACCTGCTTGAAATGTCATTGTTAACCTTCCCACTGTTTGGCTCAAGCCAAAGCCAGAATTCATCTATGCTGTGGTGCGATAAGGTTGCGAATCGTGGAGCTGGCGCGAATATAAAATCGTTAACGTATTTATTTTATCAGTGATTTGTGGTATCTTTTGGGAACGTAAGACAGCCTTATATTTTCTGCCATTGCGATCTGTTCTCAACTTTGCTATATAGAACAAACAAGTATAGCTGCTCTCAATCAGTGGTTGAATGTTGGAACGGAATTCTCTTCCAATTTTCTGGCTGCAATTCAAGTATCTACCTAATTAAAGTTCTTCCACAGACCATGGCTGGCGGCAGTATCTACAAATAGTGCGACAAAATCAAACAATTGAGAAATTGAGGTAAAAGCAAAGGTGATCCAATGAGAGCTGTATAATTTTGTGGTGTGATGCAAACTACCATTTGGAAAGAGACATTGCCAAAGTGGAAAACCTTAAAAAAAACAACGAGGTGATGCACTGCAAGATGGTTACTTAATATCAAGGCAGCCCCAAAGAAGCGTCCATAAGAACTCCGAGAACATATAATAAGTAAATATCACAGACTATCCAATACCCGTAATATGCGTAACAGTTGCCGATAGCTTCATGGTTTCTTTTATGCATAAAAAGGGGCAAACGTAGAGCAAATGGTAAAATTGCGTCTTACCTTCCTGTAGACATGATTACCGTCAAGTCGACCTCATTCTGTAGTCTGCGTATGGCCTCCCACACAGCTCTGCGGGCCGCGACATCCACGCCGAGCGTCGGATCGTCGAGGACCACCAGGGGCGGCAGGCCGACCAGCGCCACGCCAACCGAGAGGCGACGTCGCAGGCCACCGCTGTAGGTCAGCACGGGTTCCCAGATCACAGCGCTCAGCTCCAAGATCTGCGCGATGTCCCGCACCACAGCGGCCACATTGGTCTCCGGCACGCCCCGAAGCCTGGCGAACAGCGAGAGCGTCTCGTGGCCCGTCAGCTGTTCGAGAAGCCCGTCGGACTGTGGACAGTAGCCCAGTGCGGCTTGCCATGTGGACAGCGCGCCGCGCATGTTGATCGTTCCGTACGGCGTTTTCATAAACGCGCGCCCTCGGTCAGCGGGTACGTCCGTGGCGATCATGCGCAGCAGAGTGGTCTTCCCTGAGCCGGCGACGCCAAGCACGGACAGAACCTCGCCCCGCGCAACGCTGAAGGAGACGCCGTTGACAACCAGTCGGTTGCCGTACCTCTGCATGTCGCCAGTTTGGGGAATATAAGCAGGACTAGCACCAAAAATACCTTGGTATTCTTCTATTCACACATTCTAATGAGCCGCTAGAAACACAATTTCTTTTATGGGAGTATTCATATTTGCTGAAATAAACTGAAGGACGATACTACGTACTACCAGCGTCAAATGAAATCCGAACTGCGGCAAGTCATTGCGGTGGTATAGTGCGTGCCGTTCACTTAAAACCATGAACAGGCTCCATGAACACCATTAACACCATATATCCGCATAGCTGCCAAACTTGATGCATGCGCCTGTATTTTGTGATAAATGGACGGTGCGCGCAATACCATATAAAGAAAAGGCTTGCCATCGATTCGGTGGACACTCATACTTTTCACATCTGTAAGTATTATGAATACATTTTTTATCTGTATAAAAACGTCGGTTCGGAATACATTTGAAGCTGATAGTATACAGCGTGGCTAGCGTAACGCTGCGCACGGTTCAAATCTAGTAGCACCAAGGCACTTTTCGTGTTTCGCATACTTTACAACTCCTCAACGAATGTAAGGTCGTCACTCCCACTACAATGGCTAATCTTTGAAATATTAATCCGTACATGAGTGCGGTACTTTTTTCGACCTGGCAGAAAAGTGCGTTGTCGTAGCGACACTGAATTCCCACGGGAGTTGTACTGGAACCAGAATTGCAACCAGTGAAAAGGCTAAACTTGGTTATTCAGAAGACGATATTGTAAAAACTGTTCGGCGATTAGCGTCCCAAAACTACATGATCACCCCGCCGCGGTGGTCTAGTGGCTAAGGTACTCGGCTGCAGACCTGCAGGTCGTGGGAGTGAATCCCGGCTGCGGCGGCTGCATTTCCGATGCATGGAGGCGGAAATGTTGTAGGCCCGTGTACTCAGACTTGGGTGCACGTTAAAGAACCCCAAGGGGTGGAAATTTCCGGAGACGTCCACTACGGCGTCTCTCATAATCATGTGGTGGTTTTGGGATGTTAAACCGCCCATATCAATCAAAACTGGATGATCATAAGAGACGCGATTGTGAAGGGCTCCGCAAGTTTAGACTCCCTGGCGTTCATTAACGTGAACCTAAATCTCAGTACGGGTGCCTCGGGCATACGCGCCTCCATTGAAACAGCAGCCGCCGCATTCGATCCCGCGACCTGCGGGTGAGCAGTCGATCACCATAGCCATTAGATCCCAGTGGCGGATGATAACTTGAATACTAAATTCTTACGAAAATTCTATGAGCGAGATCACTGTTATGTTTTAAAACAGAACTGTTCGGCCACAGTAACGGATGCCTATGGGAAACGTCTTTGGTAAACAATAGCCGATTTCCCTCACGGGGAAATCGGCTATTTTCTGTTCATCCAAGTGAGGGAAGGATTTCCCTCACTTGGATGAACAGAAATCTTTCTAACAGCGATGCTGTTCAACCTGATCGTATACAATGTCGACCCTGCCGCCAAACTATAACCATCTTCAACCGGTATGCGCCATATATTTTAAACAAACCGCTCACGTCAGCGCTAGGGCAGTGTGACAAGTCTGTTGGAAATTGAAATGAGCGTGAGTAGGAGAACAGCGATGGTACGCGGGACTCAAACCCACGTACCTTCGATGCGAACAAGAGAACCTAATCACTCTTTTATTAAGGCATGGTAGCAGAGCATAGCAAAGCCTTGTGTAGTATAGTGTAACAAGGAGGCGGGAAACAGAGGCAAGCGTGAAGAGGAAAGACTTGGTGGAGGAAGAGAGAAGGGGAGAGAGCAAAGAATGGCACAGCAAGATGGAGAGAGGGAAATAGAGACTGAGGAGGAGGAGGCGCATCTCAATGCTACGGGGAGTACAAGCCGCGGCGGGACCGTGATTCGCTTTACGAAGGTGTGCGCGAATTAGTGCAAAACACCCGAATTTTCTTTTTTTTTCTTTTTTACGGAGATAAATTGCACCAAACTTAAGTGATAAATACGGCCAAGTAATCACACGTGTGATGGCATCTCAGATTTCCTTTATTTCAGCTGCGCCTGCATAAAAATACACGTGGCAAGAGTTTCGTGGCACGAGCTGTTTGCGTCACTGCGACGTGATTACTGTAACATTCGAGCATTTACACATTGATGACGCTGGTATCAACATTGTCGGTGCAAGCGCGTATGTTTTCTACCTACTGCCAAATTTCAAGTATCCACTAAAGTGGATACTTGAAATTTGGCAGTAGGTAGAAAACATTACGGGACACGTATCCACTAAAGTGGATACGTGTCCCGTAATTCTTATCGCTGCAGTCGGGTACGAACATGAAATTCCGCATAATGGCCTCAAAGATGCATGCACGCAGGCCTACACCATCGCGCGCTCGCTACAGACAGCTGACTCTATTGCGCTACAGGCCTTTGCAGTACAGCCGGGTTACTCTTTGTCGGGTAAAGCTACCGAGTACATATGCGGTACATATTTTTTTTTTGTCGGGAATACGACTATCTGACCTGGTATGGTCATCTCGGCGGGACATTTCTACAGCTCTTTAGAAGTACTCAAATACAGTCTTGTCACTTTAGTATCTCATATGCTAGTTTCGCAGGCATGAGAAGCGACGAGATTGCCGCGAAATGCATTGAAAATTTTCCTATGTGGCACGCCTGTGGGCAATTGTAAAGCTGACACCTGCGTAGCTTCTTTTTGGTACTCCGTCAATAACATTGCGGCAGGCAAGGACCTAACACTCTTTTGTGTGGAAGTGAGAAGGAAAACTGTGACGATGTGAACGAAGTGGTATAATATATATATATATATATATATATATATATATATATATATATATATATATATATATATATATATATATATATATATATATATATATATGGCGTTATTGGCGTTATTCGTTAAAATAGGAACAATTTTTTTTAGAAATACGTGCGAAGATTGTTTTTGTCTAGTTTATTAAGGAAATTGCAAGTCCCCGGCTACTTGCACTGCTGCGTCAGTTGACCGCTGCTACGTCCACAGCAGATTTGTCTTGTGAGTTTCAAGCATCGCAAGGAGCCGTCCAAAGGCGTCGTTACCACCACCAATTCGTTCTGATCATTGCTTGCTCAGAAACTCCCACATCCGCATACTTTCGTTTCTTACGCGTGTGCTTAAAGAATAACGGAGGAAAAAATCTTGGATGAACCCTGAGCTTTGGAACCTCAACTACAGAACGTGGTAGCGTAACCGCGCCTCGTGTGCACCGCCTTCAGCTGCGCCCCAAGGAAAGAAAAACTCATGCGCACTGCATGTGCTGTTTCAAGCTATTGTAAAATGCCTTCTCGAAGAACTACATCTGCCAAGTTCCCACAAGGCCATGTTTTTTTTTCTTTTTGCAGAGTGGCGAAACCCATTGTCGCCTTTAGACTCATCACGCATGACATTTTTATCGCATGTATTGATCATCGTCACTTAACTAATAGTAACATCACCCCGTTTTCCTAGTGCAATAATCTTCTTCCGCCAGCCGTAAGGACAAACTACGGCAAGTTCTCAACTTATTTACTAGCGCTGCCATTTGGAATTCATTGCCTTTCGAATCAAAATCATCGCATAACATCCATATTTTTCACTTCGCGCAACAAGAAATATTACGTTCAGGGATTAATCAACTCGTCCAATTTGTGTAGTTAACTGGTAATAGCTCTCCCAATTTCTGCGTTAATTTACTACTTCCATTTGCCTTTGCATAATTGATAACACTGATAATGAAACGTGTTGCATTTGTCACGTAGAGTTGTTCATTATTATTGTTTTTTTTGCCTTCACTTGCTTTTGACTATTTCCTTGTTATTTTTCAATATAGAGTATTACCACTATGTTGTGTATTGATCGTATATTTATTCTTAACCAAGCTTATTCATTATTACTCACAAGACCGTATACTATTGCTGTATGTTTTGTAATTACCCCATCCATGTAGCCATAGGAGGTCCCCCTGTCAGTTTCTCTGAAACTTCGGGACCTCCTGCTGTAATAACGCTAACCATGTAACTCAACTGAACTATTTAATAAACTTGACTTGAATTAACTTGAAACCCCTTCGCGTTCGCAAAAGAAACTTTTTAACACTGCCGCGTAAAGGTTGAACTCTTCCTAAACGCGCTTTTGATTTTCATTTAGGAATTGTTCTAAGGTAATACGGTACCTTGCAAAACTCCAGAACGGAGAGCATGTCCGTGCCCATGGTGTGCGAGAGCACTTCATTGCGTACGCGTGCTTCCTCGGCCTCTACGTCATCATCCATTGTCTCGTGAAGCGGCACCACTCGGCTTTGCTTTTTCTACACACCGTAATGGAAAGTATGTGAAGCATAGAGTTAAAAACTGTCAGGTAGACTACACAGAAATTTACAGCTACCTAATGAGAGTCATAGCGGGAACAGAAAAAAAAAACTTCGGTTGTCATTGTACCCTCGACTGGTGGGGTCTCACAAGACCGCGAGGATAGAGCTCGCTAAATAGTTGTATTTCGTTTTATTACAAATATTCTAAGTTATTATACAAATTCTGATTCTGCATTCTCAGGAGTTTCTATTTTAGGTCAGAAATATTCTGTAAACCCAGTGAAATATTTTGTATGTATGAGAAAACACCACACTTTCAATAATGATTTTCATAGACTTCTTGGCAGTTTATATACTGCGTCTTCGTCAGGACTGGTAGTACAAAATCATTCATTATTTAAAAACATGCACGCGTCGAACATATATGACCGCAGCGACGCTTACACCGGAAGTAAAGCTCTTCATCGTAACACAATCAAAGCATTCTAGATACAATCTACAAGGCGGACACTGAATAGCTATGACGAAAACCTTACCTCGTCCTACGGGTGGTGCTTGGGTTGCGTGCTGAAATCTACGTGCGAGCTTAAGTGGTTCCTTAGGCGAGTTGGTAAGACTCGCTAGCAGTTCGACTGTCAGCAGTCCTTCGATTGCTCTATCACACAAACAGAGCTTGCACACGTGATTTTTATGGAGCACTATCACGATGATTATGTAGTCACAGGCCTTTTCTGTTTTTTTTTTACCTTCGTTGTATTGTTGCTCATATATTTGTCAGACACTGCTCAAGTTGATATTGCGCGGTTCCAACAAATAAATCCTTCGTCTGCTTTTTTGTGTTGTCTTCTGTTTTCGGAGCTGCTTTTAAGTGAACCACGTAGAAGACATTACTACTTGTTTGGCCTAATTGTGAACAAGGCCAACGAATGGAAGCCGCAACCTCGTTTTCATCGGAAGTTTTATTTGTCTAGTTACTTCTTTCTCTTCCCCTGTGGCCTAACTATTACAATATCGGAGCTCAGTGTCAAAAGGTCCCATGATCACATTCAGACGTCATACCGATTTCTTTCCACTTATTATATGCCTACAGAACTTAGCCAGCTGTGCCTGCTAGTTTATTTTTTGTTAGTTGACTTTAAATTGGTTTTGAGCAATGTCAGCGTACCAGTTATGTAGGCCTTCGAAACATATTTTCAGCGTGATCACAGGCAAGACTGGCGGACGTCGACAACTTAGGCGCTTTAGGTGCCCAGCGCTTAAGGGACGGTCTCAATGCAGTAAAGCTGGCAGATTTGGTATAGAGAGACCTGCTATCGACCTTAACCCTAAGTGTGTATACTCACGCGAGACCTAACTATTGCTTCAACGCCAGGCCACTCGCCGCCGTCGAAGTAGAGCAGGAGCGCGAAGAACACGACACCCTCGAGCATCATGACGAACACCTCGTCAATGTCGGACATGGTCGGCCGGAAGTCGGGCACCTGCGCAGCTCCGGACGCGAGGAAGTCCGCGCAGCAGTGCTCGACGAACTCGCCGCTCTTGCGCCGTTCCTCTTCGGCCGCCACGCTGAAGCCCCCCGCGGGCTCCACGCACACGCGCCGATACGAGTCGATCGTCGCTGTGAACGACAACGACAGGCGAAACAAGAACCCCGAAGCAGGGGTCTCAAACTCACCTCGCATAACAGGCCGCTCTCGCTGAATTCAGCCCCACAAGGGCCGGGACAATGAAGACTGAAGCTGCTACGGGGACTGGTTGGTGCATCGGTCTGTTGCGGCGCTACGGTGATACAGCAGGACAAACGGCAGCGAACACACGTTTTTTTGTATTAGGGACGATAGCCTTCTTTGGAATTTTGAAGGAAGAAATTTCGATGATTGATTGATATGAGAGATTTAACGTCCCACAACCGCCATATGATTATGAGACGCCGTATATATAGTGGAGGGCTCCAGAAATTTCAACCACATGGGGTTCTTTAACGTGCACCCAAATCGGAGCACACTGGCCTACAGCATTTCCGCCTGCATCGGAAATGCGGCCGCCACAGTTGGGATTCGATCTCGCGACCTGCGGGTAAGGCAGAAATTTTGGTATGTATGTATGTATGTATGTATGTATGTATGTATGTATGTATGTATGTATGTATGTATGTATGTATGTATGTATGTATGTATGTATGTATGTATGTATGTATGTATGTACGTACGTATGTACGTACGTACGTACGTACGTACGTAGTACGTACGTATGTATGTATGTATGTATGTATGTATGTAGTCTGTATGTATGCATGTATGTATGTATGTATGTATGCATGTATGTATGTATGTATGTATGCATGTATGTATGTATGTATGTATGTATGTATGTATGTATGTATGTATGTATGCATGTATGTATGTATGTATGTATGTATGTATGTATGTATGTATGTATGTATGTATGTGTGTGTGTCACGTGATTCAGCCACCCTGCCAATGTTTAAGCCCTTGCTGAACGCCCAGCCATCTTGAACTAGTGGCAACGCCCATTCTTGTGAACATTGTCAATCAAAAAGCAAGTATTGCACGTATCTGAGGCGCAACTTCAACACGGAAGTATTAGGTCGTGAGTTCCTTAAAAAAAAACTCGTGTTTCCTATGCTACGCCAAAAAGGCAATGCTGTGTACGAAAAAGCCCTCTGCCGACAATATGTTACATCCACCTGGCAGGAAGGAAATGGTATGGGTTGCATCAACCTTATTGCCGTATGCACCTGCCAATCTAGAACGTTGTCGTGTTATCTCAGATTGAAAATCATACGCCCACAAACTCAGGCCATTTTCAGGCTTGTTGGAACATCCTGGGGCCTCGTCAGAAGAATTGCAAGCTCTCAAAATCCGAAAAGTGGCGCCAAATACGATCGTCTTGATTGGCTAAAAGTGCCAGTTCAAGACACCATCGACTCTAAGAAAGAAGTCAAAAAGCTGACCCGGTATAAGTAACACACCACACTCGCTCTACCAAGAAAGCCAAGGCAAAGCAGCGACGATAACGCAGACATCATTCTGAGAGGTGCAGATCTTTCCAGCCCCGTGTACAAGATGCTTCAGAAAAGACTAAAGCTAAGTTTTGAACCTAAGCTCCGCAGACAGAAGCTCTTAGCCTTGGCCCAAAATGTGTGCGACCAAGCGACGAAAATGAGCGCGAGCGTGCCACCAATCAGACAGCTGACACTTTTTTTCTTTCGCTTACTCGTCTCCGTGGTTTGCATCGTCTCGTTTTCTTGCAGTATAGATCAATACGCTCAAACCCAGGTATTTAAACACCAGTGTTTTTCAAGACTCAAGTGTCTGTGTATTCTCTAGTAAAAGAACACACCACTTATTAATCACGCATTGATGGTGCGACTCAGATACGCGTAATATTTCCTCTTTAATCAACAATTTTCACAAGTATGAACGCAGCCACAAGTTCAAGATCGCTAAGCGTTCAGCAAGAGCTTAAGCTTACTCCGTGAAGTTGAATCGTTTGAGAGACAGACGGACCTAAATTTCTGCGTTCAAGTATCTCAAGAAACACTGCTGTCTTTAAAAACGTTTCTCGGATTTGTGTCTTGTGACATCACCTCTTTCTCATTTTAGAGCAAAGCTCCCTAGGGCCTAGGCTTGACCGGCATTCATCAATGTACCGGCGTCCACAAGTGTACCAGGAACTGCTACACAACGGTGAAAAAGCCACATATGCCGTTAGCACAATCTTAAAGGAAAAAATCACAGCGTATCCACGGAGTGAATGATGATGAGGGGTGCGAATCATTCAGACGAATAAAAGCATGGACGGACAGAGACACGGACAGATGCAGGCACAAACGAACACACGGGCGGACACGCGGAAGTACGGACGCACAGAAGTACGGAAATGGACACACGGAAGTATGGACGGGTGGACGGAAGCACACATGGACGCATGGACGCATGGACGAACAGAAGCATGGATGGATGGACAGAAGCACGAACGCATGGACGGATGGAAGCACGAAGCGATGGACGGACAGGCGAACTGACAGATGCACGGATGGTTAGCCACACGGATGGACGTATGAACGCTTCGCCCCTTTCATCATAATTCACTCCAAGAATATGCTGTGGAAACCATTAACGCCATCTAGTTACATTATTCCCAAGGTCATATACACACCACGCCATCTGTTCAGCAACTCATAAACTACAGGTGGCTACATACGAACACTGTGACTGCAAAAAAGGGAAAGACCAATGGCCTAAAAAGCTCCGCCCCTGAAGCAAAACAAGACAATATCAAAAACCTAAAAGGAGAGACCCTTTATACTGGTCGACCAATTCAAAGAACACATTATGTACTTTGAGACCTAGCTTTGTCGTCGACGCTCATTGTTCGCTGTGCGGGTGGTTAGAAAACCATCGCCACAGGTGACAGACTAGTGTACATGAATATAAAATAGGTTTAAAATGAATGAACGGCAGTCATAATTGTGGCAGAACAATATAAAGCACCTGCTAGCACAAACCCTCTATGCTAGTCAGCCACCTAAACATGAACTTTAGGGAACTTAGCACCGAGCTTTGTCATCGATTGTCACTTTTGTCACTGAATGCAACGCTCGGGTAGCATATGTGAGACACAAAATATTTATATTTACTAATATTGATTACAACTTTAAGGGAACAATAAAGAACACCTACAAGCACCGACTGTTTATACTAGTCGGTGACATCAACGTAGACATTATAGACCACAGGACCTAGCTTTACCCACTCGTCGTCATTCACTTTGTTAAGATGCGTGTATTTTCGTATTCCTTGCTTTGGTTCATCGCACAAATATTCTGCATTGTGGCGGAACTGACGTATGTTTTCCCTTCTGTAGAGGATGACTGTAGAGCCTTTGCTTCATCTTTCAACAACATTTCCACACGTGTATAATTTTTCTAGGCTTTCGTATTTGTTGACCAAGGATCGCTAGATATTGGCTGAATACCGCTGCAGATTGCACGAGTTACTGACAAGGTGACAGCGACGAAGTGGCTTGGCACTTTACTTTGACCATTCTTTGCCCAGAAGGAATAAAACGCATCGATCTCACGATGCGTGTTCTAATATTAAGACGAAAGTGTTTTATGCCAGGGCCTACCAAGACTTCCACGACGCGTTTCCGTCACGGAAGTGGCGTGACCTGTTTCGTGACCTCCGGGTTCGCGGCAACAGAGGTCGGGCATGGAACCCACTGCGCCATAGATACACACTAAAAACCCTCAGAAAATACGCCTGTTATATTTAGCACGGTCATCTCAGCATACTTGGTGAACTGCAGTAATGCATCATGACCGTGACATCCGCTATTAGTTCCTTGAACACGTCCTTTCTAAGCGTCCGTCTGATTCGGGTGCGTTTCTGAGAGCAATGTGTGCAAATTAGTGAACACACCCCGAGGTGGCGATCTCACCCCAAGCTTTGGAGTCGCTCGTTGCCTTCATCCATCTTAAAAGAAACTTTGCCACGCATAGACTAATGGACATGCTTCGTCTGGATGTAATAACTCCACGTTCGCCGCTTATGCTCGCCCCGCAAAAAATCGTGGGCCACCAAAGAACAAGACACCACGCGCATTCACTTTCCCTCTGGTTGGGCCATGGCGTTCAATAACTCGAACATGCTGAGAGCAGGTGACCTCAACCCAATTTCGGCATACAATGAGTCGCGATCTTCTAGCTGTCACATCATTTGCTCTGGTTTCCCACCCACCTATGACCACAATGGTTTCTTTATCATTATTGATGAATGTTAGTCGTCAGGACGAAGATGTATGACCAAGTGCCAATGTGGATGCATCAACAATAATTGGTGTTATAGCTCTCAAACATGCATCAGCGTTAAGCAGTATTAGAGCTGTTAAACAACAACAGACATTGCGCAAGCTTTTATTGTTAATGTACAGTAAATATTAAACTACTTCTGTAAGGACATGTTTTACTTTCATGATTTACCAATTCCTGTGGCGAAGGGATCAAAGGTTTTTTTTTGCAATGCCCCCCCCCCCTTTTCTCTGACTGCAAGGTGTCCCTCATCCCTTGCCTCACTCAGATGGATTTCCAGAAACAGGCATAGTGCAGAACCACTGGAGTATAGGCTTCGTTCAATCATATTCAAGGTCTTCCACGAAGACACAGAATGGACTGCCAAAGCAGATTACTCACATCGACTGCAGATCCAGGCGACTTGGCTCTTGGAGACGGTCTTCCGGAAGGCGGACATGAAGGCGAACGAAGGCAGAAGGCGCAAGACGGGCAGCATGTTCAGCAGCACGTATCTGATGCCGACCGCCGTCTTGAGCAACTCAGCGGCAATCGTGCCGCTCTGCATGAATGCTGCAAAAAGGGCATCGCCCGTAGTTAGGTGTAAGTTCTGTTCATAGTGTACGCGCGCCTCTTAACTAAAGAAGCGGAATAGATTGAGAGACTTTCTCGGACCTTTTCTGGAAGAGTTGCGCTGTTATCTAGACTCGAGACAAGGAGATTGGTCTAGTTTGTGAGATTCGATTATAAAAATATAAAACAGTGCTTACGCACGGGACAAAAAAAAGTAAGTGACACATACGGCGCTGTTCGTGCAACTGGTTCATCGGAAATCAACATTCGCAATTTTTAAAAGGTGATCGCATCTGCACATTGTTGAAGATGATATACGTGTAAACTGTTAGGTGCAGCGTCACGTCCGCTTCCTAGTCACCCACTTTTAAAAGGACCATTTTGTTCGATGAAACGCGAGGGAAGGTGGCAGAACATCATAACTCACTTTCCGAGATATGTGCTGGGACACGAGTGATTGTAATTGACAGGAACCAGCAATACACAATGTTTATTCCCTTTCAAAAACGTTTTGAAATGTAGGGGCTAAGTGCCACGTTATTGTACTGTTTTCTGCTTCTGTTGAAGCGGAATAGGAAGGAGCCAGTTCACCTTGTTGGTCAAATCACTGTTCAAATTTCTTTGTCCGTTTAGCTGTTTTTTTCAATTTTGCCCACGTCTCCAGATGCATAGCGTCCCAAGTAGGACTCAAATTATTAAAAGTTAGGTTAAATGACTCAGTCATAGCGGCAACACATGAAACTGTCTTGGGTGTGTCCAGTTAAGCCTGTATGTCGATATAAGCCATGCTCCTGTATTTTGCAGCAAAAAAAAAATCATTCAGTCACTTAGCGCAAGATAAACAAGAGCAAAAAAGGCGTACACATCAACGAGCGCTATTTTGGTGGCGCACGTTTGTACGCCTTCCTTCTTCTTGTTTGTCTTGCACAAAGCGGCTAAACACTTTTTTCTCAGCGAAATATAGCAGCACGACTTATAATCACCCACCACCATAACACTTTTCTTCGTCCTCGTTTTTCTCGTGCTAAGTTTGTAAAAGAATAATTTATTCGAGCTAGTGCAGCTAGCAGTGCTGTTTCAGTTTTGGCGTGATCATGAAAAAAACACTATTGTAGCTCTGGGTCTCACGTAATTCTTCATATATTGCAAACACTGCGTGTCTACAAGCTGTCGTTACTGTGCAGCTTTCGAGCAGGAAAAAAAAGATTACAAATATGGCGATATTTCAAAAAGAAACACCTTAAAAATCATAATCAAAGATAGACCACCTCTTGTTTGTCTTAGGACTGTACAAAAGTAAACCTCACAGTCTTTTTTATCTTATCCTGTAAGAAACATGCACAATTGTTCGCACGATCGACGTCAATAGGCCAATGTGAATGCAATAGCGCCGTTCACTCACCGCCGAAGAAGCTCAGCAACAGGACAAGAGCGTAGCTAGCAGATGGACTGTTCGTCCGAAGGGAAAGCAGGTATGCCAGTGGTAGAGCGCATATGCCGTAGCAGGCCATGACAAGCACAACGGGCTCTGGGGAATAGCACAAGGAGCAGCAGGACTTTAAATTATAGTTTTCCCGAATCGCGAAGCATGTATTTATTTATTCAGAAGATGCTTTGCAAGTTTCTACGTTATTTTTTCACTTTTTATTTATTTATTTATTTAGAAACACTGCAGACCTTGATAAGATCCAGGTAGGAGGGGAAAAGTATAAACAAACAATACAAAGTGCAGAGGTATAAACAAATATACTAACACCAAATTGAATCTGCCAACAAGTAAACAAGCACAAAAAAAAATCTGAATTAACGAAGAAGAATGTACAGAATGAGAATATTAACAATGCATAACTATCTAACCAATGTACAAATGCATCTGTAAAAAAGAATATTGGCAAGAACATTGTTTTCAAGCAGGAAAGGCTACGCTAAGGATGAAATGGATTCGATAGAGTCACTGATGTAGAGTTTATTAAGAGGTATAGGCTGTTGCAGTCGGCTACTGGTCGAGGGAAGAAGTATGTTGGTTTTGACTATATAAAGAGTTAATGTGGCAAAGTGGCCATGTCTAGTTTCGTTCGGCGAGCAGTGAGAAGCCTAATATAGGCTCAAGAGAAAGGTACTATTAATATGCAGTATGAACAGAAACTTAAGCCTGTAAATTTTTCTTCTTAGGTGCAAGGACTGAATGTTGTGTTGGGCCATTAGGACACTATGGGGAATCACTGGAACAATATCTAAAAAAGATGAACCTCGTATCTTTACGTCAGATCTTTTTTATCACATTGATGTAAGCTTTAGTGTAACGATTCCGTACGATAGTTGCGTATATATTCCAGCTTAGGACGGACAAGAGAAGTATAAACTGTTAGATGGGTCACGGCAGGAGCTTGCATGTTTCAATTTGTGTCTCAGGTAGCAGAACTTTTTGAAAGCTGAGTCGCAAGGGTAAAAAATGTGGTAGTTCCAACTGAGGTTAGGAGTTATTTTATGACACCTAAGTACTCATATTCATCAACCTTTTAGGTGGCATGGATGCAAGATCATAAGTGAGCAAAGTTTATCGATTTTTTGGTTATTTTCATAAATACTGTTTTATCGATATTGAGATACATATCCCAGCGTTCGCACAATGCTAAAATATTTTGAAGGCTGCAGTTTAAGGTAACTTGATCTTGTTGGCGGGTTCAAGAATACTTCCTTCGGGAACGCCAGAAGTAGGCAAAAGGTTACTCGAATAGCAATTATCCTCAATCGCGAAGAGCAGTTATTATCTAACGGAACGAATACAGTTACTGAGTCTCCGATTTCGAGTGGCCAAAGCAACTTCGTGGTGGTTTTAGTTGTCTGTAAAGGCGATCGTGAACAACCATACTTATTCGAACTGTGTAGCGTATAAAGTAATGATTAATGTTTTTTTCTTCTGCTGTTATCAAAACCTTACCAATTCATCACGACCTTTCTACTATATATCTTCAGTTTATTCGTCAGACAAAGATACTTCATAAGTACTTTGCTAACAAACGCCCCGCCAAGGTGGTCTAGTGGCTAAGGTACTCGGCTGCTCACCCGCAGGTAGCGGAATTGAATTACGGCTGCGGCGGCTTCATTTCCGATGGAAGTGGAAATGTTGTAGGCCTGTGTGCTCAGATTTTGGTGCACGTTACAGAACCCCAGGTGGTCGAAATTTCCAGAGCCCTCTACTACGGCGTCTTTCATAATCATATGGTGGTTTTGGGACGTTCAACCCCACATATCAATAAATCATTTGCTAACAAAGATTCTCAGAAGATATAATCAGTAAATATTTCCCGATTTCAAGAGGCCCTGCCGGGTTTTCAGGTAGCTGTCGTATAATGCCACACCATCGGTAACGCAGCCATAATCCACTGCGAGGTGTAGGGTATTGAATTACACTTTGCGTATGTCCATTTGTGCGCTTGTGGGTGTGGGACTACCCTGACACGCGTGCTATTTAGATATGCCAGATTTAAACGCATAACACTGCTCGCAGACCGCACCTCAGTGTTTGAGAAGCTTGTCGTTTGTATACACTAGATCATTTTGTTAAGATTGTGCACAAGACGTGAACACGCAAGATAATTCCAGAGCATGCATGACAGCCAATGATGAGGCTGAAAAGTTTGAATCGGGATGTATAAAGGACGGTGGTTCTCGACCTTGACCAGTAGATTGATGACCGATGCTGAAATCACCACTATCCGTGCCAGTGCCACAGCTTCAGCCAAATCAACAGTTTCCATTTGGAGAAGCTGTCTCTGCCTTCGTTAGCAATATGACCCTGTGACAATACATGCATATGCTAAAATTAAAACTGTTTTCTGGGGAGGGGGGGGAATTATTTTACCCTCCCCTTTCGATCTCCCTGCACAATACTCATATTTCTTAATAGTTAATTGAAAAATTACAGAACTAAAAACAAACGAATTCTCCTTTACTCGTCCCGACTTCTGATTTATTAGGGCCAAGCGCACTCTAGGATAGGCAGAGTATATAGCTACACTGTGTGACTGAAGCGCTTCTGCAAAGTAATGAGGCAGAACTCTACGCATTTAGCACTGTGAATGCGTGCATCATGAATCAAATCTACAAATCTTCGTCGGCATACCACTAATGCCCTGGCATGAACAAAACATAATCTTGTGGCAGTCATCGGCGTTGTAAAAAACGCACCAGTGTCGCAACGCAAACGTTTCTTTATTGTGTCTGATGAGGCATGCTCCTGTGATATACCGAGTTTCGGAACCACAGCCCCGCCGAGAGCATGGTAGTAACATTTAATACGTGTATTTGGTACACGTATGCTCTGTTCTGTCGTGAGTTACTCATGGGGGCAAGCATGGTCATCCATCTAATCTTAATCACCTCTGCTAGCTAAACCAAATGCGCTTATCATTACAGGAACTTGTAGAGAACTGAATATTAAAATGTTATTGAATGCTGTGCTGTTATAATAGCACCTTGCCTACAATAGCAAACTTCACACGAAAATAGCTATTTCCTGTAGTCTAACCACCACTTAAAACTTGCCTTAAAGCAACATTGGTCGACATTTTTAATGGTAGGTTGATAGTAGCTAGCACTATAATAACCGAGAAATCACTCGCCAAAATTAGTCATTATCAAGCCGATATTAGCCTGCGCTATAGCGAGTTCTCGTTCGTACACTTCCTTCCTCTGAGAGAAAGTAGCTTGAAATACAAACAAAATGAAATAGCTCTGACCGAAACCAAGAGGTATCAAACATTAAAAAATGACGTTCCGGCTACCGTATGGTACCATATACGGTTGCCAAAACATCATCTTTAATGTCTGAAACCACCTCATTTTGGTCAGCGTTATTTCATTACGCGTGTATTTTATACGTCTTCCCGGCCAGAAGATGGTTCGTCAAACCATCGATTTCAGGAAGTATAGTAAGCCACATTATATTGGTCGGAGTTGCTTTCGTGATCAAGACGTGGATATACTTTTCTCTCCAAGAATCAGACATAGACCGCAAGGTATGTGAGGAGCTCAAAGAACGAGGTAAATGGAGCGAAACAGAGTATGACGTAACGAAAGGAAAGGCGGCCCCATCTTTGTTGCAGTGATACTTTTCACCTTTCCGGTACTTTTGCGCTGCGTCTTAGGTCAAATAACAAGCACGCGCCATGTTATCATGTCGTCATGTTATCGTGACGTCACGCCATCACGTTACGTCTCGTCATTAAAGGAGGGCCGATCCAAGTCCCGGAGAAACCGGAAATTCACGTGAAATGCGAAAAGTCTGCCGTGCCACACTTCAACAGATGCAAAATGCCTATAAGAAAGAGAGTCGTCAGGATCGAATTAGAAAAAAAAAAAAAACTTTTGTCTTCGTGTTGTTTTAGGCGAATAGATTAGTTGGTGTAAGGCTTGTCTGTAGTACAGATCGTGGTCGCGATAAAGACGACCCAAGACGACGCTATAAAGTCTGAAGATGGGAAGTTGCGGACACTCACGCATCATTTCCTGGAAGAAAGCGCCATAGAATACGATCATGGCAGTGCAGATGCCGACCGCGGAGAAGGAGTACACGACGTAGTCGAATATGAAGTTGGCCAGCCAATACAGGCTCAGAGGAAGGCCCGTGAGCAGCTGTAGCCGGCGGAAGCCGCTCACACGGTCCACGACGGGAAACATGCCGCACGCCGCAGTCATGGAGGCCAGAGACATGGCTCCCAGCGTGAAGCGCTCCAGCTGCCGCTGGATGACCTCGGGTGACTCGGGGTCATAGGAGACCGTCTCTTCCAGGTACTTCTGCGGCCGCACGCGCAGCTTTATGGACGCCGTGTCGTCGCCGACGGTCCAGCGCAGTAGCGATGTGTGAACCAGGTTCAGGGAGATTATTGCGCTGTGGTAGATCTCGCCACTGTACCTGCGACAATCGATTGCTGTACTTTTCATACATAGAGACTCGAAATCGCTGGCAAAAAAATGTTACCATGAAAGCCCTACTTATCAAATCATTGCATATCCTTCAATGTAACAAAAACGGGCATTGTATGAGCCCCACGGATAGAAGCACCGTGGCTACCTTATCAATACCTATGCAGTATGTGTAAATTGCTCGCCACCGTAGACACGAAATTTCCATACACTATATCACGCCAATGAAGCCGAAATTGAAGCCAAAAATACATAGGTGTAATTTGTAGTTTTCTGTAACTCTACAAACGTAACCATGTTGGAGTCGGAAAGGAATTAAAAATGACGAAATAACTCACTGATGACGCGGTCAAAACCAACGACATTCAGGCTGCTCATTCGATGTTACCCTCGTATAATGTTGCATATGCAATCTCAGGCATTCCCATTCCCTTCTTGTCTTGTTCTTCATTTTCAAGCTCTTCTGATCACAGGTTACCTTTCATTATTAGCATGAACCAATTCACCCAGCAAGCGATGCTGCAGAACTACCAGTTAGCATGGCTTTGCAAAATTAATACAATAATAATGTATTAATACAATGTGATATGAAACTTCAAGCTTTACATTATAATCTTCCCAATATAATACTGAAAACGCTCTAATGAAAATCTGCGTTCTTCGTCCCTCTGTCATTAGGAAGCTATTACGCTTCTACAACTTCTCCCCGTATTTGACTCCAAACTACTGAGACTGCGATTCGCACGGAGATTTCTGCGTTCTGCTGTGCGATACCGGCGTTCACTCATGTTATTTGGGATACTGCATTACCTAATAATATATTTCGTCCTTATCTTTAACTCTTGGTTTAGACTCGGTCTTTGAACCACAACCAGCGTTTTCTGGCGCACTAAAATGGTCCTTACGTCAATTATTTACGTTTCGTAGTGTGTTTGGGGGGGGGGGGTTGATACATTGGCCCTTGAAATCTTCCGGCGATTGCCATTACCAACCACGGGATAAGCGACACCAAGCATGGCCCGCAAAACTCTACGCCCATAGAAGGAGCGTAACATGCGCTTACCACGCAATAGCGAGTCTCCCTTTGTAGTCTTTGGAGACACCCAGCTGGACAACTTCCTCGGATCCATCTTGGCGGAAGGATTTCTTATGGCCGACGAGCAGGAAGCTGGAGCCCACCACGCATTGCAAGTACTCCGTCATGCTGCGACTGCCAGTTTCCAGCAGGTAGTCCGTGACGTCACGAACGCGCGTCACCTTTCAAGTGGGAACGTGAAGGCTTTCAGAATGGTAAATGAAGTGGTCTATAGCAACTACCAACGTAAGAAAAATCACAGCATATTGACGGAGTGAATGATGGTGAGCGGGGCGAAGCGCTTGAGGGTTTCATCGCTAAACCGTGAACCATCCGCGAATATCGCCCACTACATCATCACAGACGTGACAACTACTGTATACATTTAAACAGGAAATTCAATTTTTCGTAAGTGGTAGCTATACGCCGCTTCCGTTGCCGCTTCATTATAACGCCTTTATGGTCGGTGAAGTGGTGGATTGGTGATGGGGCGTAGTGAGATGCCTGCAAGGACGAAGTAGTGCGCAGTTTGCAAAGGTGGAATTATAGGCGGCCACGTACTAACAAGGAACGGACACAGTGGGACACACTATGCTTCTTTAACGTGCACTAGGATACAAGTATACACGACTATCTTGTAATTGATATTGGCTACTTCTCAGCAGTATTTGCTTTATGATCGGTGAAGTGGTGCATCGGTGATAGGGCGTAGTGAGATGTTTGCAAGGACGAAGTAGTGGGCAGTTGGCAAAGGTGGAACTATAGGCGGTCACGTACATACATACAATGGATGAACAGACCCACGTCTTTCGGAGCTTCGCCCCTAAAATACAAGCTCCGTTTTCAGGTGCCATGCTTCCATCCAGAGAGGATTTTCATAGGTGTCCCATCGAACCAGAATAATTTTTTTACGCCAAGCGATTTTTACATGTTTGAGAAAGTTGGTGTGCCCTTGCAAAAATATATTCGTGTCGCTGAATGAAAGGTTCAATCACTCGATCTTCCGGTAAATTTCTGCAGACATTTTAATGCCGCTTTTAGTCAAAAGCACTACTTTAAGTAGCAACGACGAACCTTCAGTTTCAGATACGCGTGATGTTTACATTATAAAAAACCGCATAGGTTTCTAAAGGAGGCCAGCTTTCACGACCTCCTCACGTAAGTGATTGAATTCGATGAGCTCTGCCTGTTTTTGTGGGTGGAGCTTGCACTAATTCTTGGGTTGTATAACCCTACACTTAAATAACGAATAAGGGCTACAGCACAAAAGCAGCAACGGGCGAAGAGGCAGCACAACTAGCAGAGGCTGTAAACTAACAGAGTTTACGGTGGCAGAAAGAAAGTCCGAGGCATAACTTATCTGCGCATACGCAAGAATTGAAGCGCCACCTGACAACTAGGAAGGCATGCAGGCGCACGACCGATTGACGGCTGGAGCTTTTCACACCTGAGCACAACCGCCTAATCGAGTTTATCTGTCACGCAGAATCATGTGTGCCTAATCGACAGGTGACACTTCCATTACTGATAACGCAAGGAAAGTTTCGTTTCTAAAACTGTTTCAAGCGATATACAGGGAACATTTTATTTGATGGTCGGCGTTTGTGCTTTCTGCTTATCTTCATTGCATCCGTGTGTGAAGGCGTTTCTTGTTGTCACGATAAATTTGTGCCTACTAGTTCTTGTCGCTTTATTTCTCTTACGTTTATTGAAATATCGAGTACAGGTTTTATTGATGATTGATATGTGGGGTTTAACGTCCCAAAACCACCATATGATTATGAGAGACGCCGTAGGGGAGGGCTCCTGGAAATTTCGGCCACCTGGGGTTCTTTAACGTGCACCCAAATCTGAGCACACGGGCCTACAACATTTCCGCCTTCCATCGGAAATGCAGCCGCCGCAGCCGGGATTCGATCCCACGACGTGCGGGTCAGCAGCCGAGTACCTTAGCCACTAGAATCGAGTACAGGTAAAAGTGCAGTTAAAATATCATGCGGGTGCGCACACACTCGTTTTTACGGAAGAGAACATGAACAGCGGTTGTTTAGAAGCAGTTCATCTCTTGTTTGAAAGTAACGAACGTAGAGAAGACTTACTTTTTAGAAATAATTAACCAATAAATATTTGTCTAATCTAGCTTCCACATATCATATTCGTATTCAAAACATTTGATAATTGAACGCCGATAAGGTAAACATTGGCACTTGTACCTCATAGAATGTTTTGTTCACCTCTGCTCGACGTTCACATTTGGGTTCAAATTTTAAGTTCATTTCCTTCTAATTTAAATGTGATCAATTTGCTATAGCGTTAACGAATCTACCATTGTTTTTGAATGGCTTAACGTTCATAGTCGGTAACATGACTCAGCAAGGTTAACATTAGAAACAAAATTGAACGGGTATTTAGCTTTCGAAATCGCCGGCTTGGTCTGGAGTAACATTGCTGACTCTCAAACGATGAAAGCGAAGAAAATAGACGCGTGTAATTGTACACTTGCACAAAATGAGGAAAAAGTAAAATTGAATAGCCAATTGGGTTAAAATCCCGCTAAATTACATCACACAATTAAACGCTGAATTTATTCCATGAAAACGCGAACGAGGCAGGCTGCATCCCTGCACTACGCGCAAACCAATAAACATAAGAGGGGTGAAACCAGTAACATATAGTTCGGTTGCCTCGCTCCTATTATGTAAGTTGCTGTACATACATGATTTCGAGGGCTTGAACTATCATCTGCCCCCTCAAGCTACTGAAACGAGGTGGAACCGAAGGTCAGTGTTTGTGGAATACAACCACAGTGTAGAGAAACTTACTGAAACGCCTTTTTGTTCGAGGAGTTGGCGGTAGTACTGCGAAACCACCACAGAGTCATCGTCAGAAGACAGTATGGACGAGATGGTGAAGTTGTACAACACCTTCAAGTCGTAAGGGTACACGTCCTTCAGGTTAGGTGTCGCCTTCGCCCTACGGTATGGCCAAGGCAGAACCATTGCAGGGAAATACAGTTTCAGTCGTAAAGCACGACATCACTACAGATAGGATTACGGAATGATAGTCATGTTTCTCTTCCAGACACTTACACTTTTCGAAATATTCAGAAAAAATGCTTTAAATTGTTAAAGGGTACGAAAACGATGGGTGTGGATAGGTTTAGGAGTTAGCGTTGGATACATGTGATATCGATGCATAAGTTTACCAAATGGTTTATTACCTGTCCGGATAACTCATAAAATTGATTTATAGGATGTTTTTGGTCACTACCGCAGACATCAAAATTCCAGAAAGATTAGTCTAATCTTCGCACAGAGAAATGGTATTCCTTAAAGCTAATACACATTGCTTTTTGTGGTGCGGTTCGTTGAATAATCTAGGTGCATCATATGGCTTTTCGTTTTCTTTATTCTCTGAAAGCGAACACAGTCCACCGTATATTTTCCCTCCATGTTTGGTATGTCGTTTCCTACCATAGAATATTTCATTGCGAAGCATTTATATTGTGAGCCTCTGAAGTGAAATATAATGTGAGCGTCTATAGTGTAGCATTTCAGGCCAGTATTCTAATAAATGATTAATGCTGGGAATGATGCATTTAAAAGCCTCGTTTGTACAATTGCGGCCGTAGTGGATGGCATTAGAAACCGTGTGTGGGAAGGCTTTGGTTTCGCATAACGGAAGCGTGAACCCATGCGATACATTGTGGTGAAGACAGCGCGAAGTGCTCAACTGCTTAGGATATCAACCAGCGCAGTAGTTCCCCAACTAATTCTCAAAATTCGGAATGCGGCGCACTTGCATTTACATAGCCGGCGTTGGCCGACATCTCAGCATCAGTCGAGCTCGGCCTGACGAATCAATATGAAACGATTTGCTCGCCCTTTGCAGTCAAGCACTATTCTCTACAAAAGTGACGCTGCAAGATTTTATAGCGACCGCGTTAGTTGCCTTGTGAAATCTGAAAACTAACCACTGGTGTCGGAGTCAACACAACCGATGTAAAAAATCGACCGATCACGTCACCATCCGACATCATTAAAACAAAGCGCTAAAGTGTGTGAAGTCAGCGCGGCGTCATTATGACATAACCTAGCGGGAGATGACAGAGGGTCGTCATCACGTGACATCGTCGTTTGGTCAAAGTTATGCAGATCACGGGGTCAGTGCAAAACTATGCGAGTTCACATCTGATTCCCTGATCTCGAAGGCAAAGCAAAAGTACACTATAGGCTCACGCCGCTTTCGTTGTTGAGCGGGAAAGAGCCAGTGTGTCGACTTAGAAAAATGAAAGTTGCATAAGTTGCATAATAGTTGCATAAGATAGGAAGCTTAAGCGAGTTGGTATGGGTTCATCTTGGTTGAACAGCGCACACGAGACGAGGACGGAGAAAAAGAACAAAGACAAGCTCCGTTTCGCAACTAACATTTATTTGGGAAAGAACAAATGATATGTAGATGACACTTAAAAGAAAATGCAAGAACACCAAGCAGCAAAACAACCAAACACGCCCCAAGCAAGAAAAAAAAATTATAACATTGGTATCATCTTCGACAGGTGCTAGAAAGATAGCTAAATTCTGCGTCGCTCAGTGCAATCGACGGCATGCTGACACACTTTGTTTTTTGCGGATGTGGAAGGCATCATTCACTTCTCTTGCTAGCCGATTTCGATGATGCGGCAGTATCCTTGTGTCGTGGAATAAGGGCACGCAGCCACATTCGAGAGAATGAGCGGTGAGGGAGTACGGTTTTGACCCTGATAATAAGCGTTCGTGTTCTCGCAGGCGAATGGTTATACATCTTCTGCTTTGGCCAATATAATTGCGCCGAGCGACGCAGAATTCAGCTATCTTTTTAGCACCTGCAGAGGATGATACCAATGTTATAATCCCTTGCTTGCGGCGTGTTTGGTTGTCTTGCTGTTTGGTGTTTATGAATTTTCTTTAAAGTGGCACTTCATCGATATATTATCTGTTCTCTCCCAAATAAATGTTGGTTGCGAGACAGCGCACCCATCCTCTGTTATTTCCCAAAATATTGTTAGTCGCGAGACGACGTTCGCGCGTGTGTGTTTTTTTTTTCCTTCGTCCTCGTCTTGCGTGCGCTGTTCAACCAAAATGAAGAGTGGTCTTAAGTGGATCCATAGGCAGCGCTGATCTTATTACCCTGATCACAATGCCACTCACGACTTTTGATCCCGGTATCCCTGCAGCATGAGCAACAACGCCGGCGCGAAGATCCCAAGCACAGGCAGCACCCACTGGTGGCGGGTGAACTGGAAGCGTTTGTGCAGCAGCGCCACCAACGACCACAGTAAGGACTTCCTCCACACGCAGCCTTCGCAATTGACGCGAAGTGCCTTCAGATCCACAGGGACCTTCGCCGCTCCTGGTGTCCCGGACTCCGACTGATCATCCATCATCTCGTCGGAGATTCTGCGACCGCATCGTCGTAAATGCGCATCAGAAGAAGGATTCAGAGGATACTCCAGCTTCGCCTTCGACACTAGGTCGGCGTAACGTCATCAACCCTCGTTCGCCTCGCATTCTCAATCACCTGACATGCTTGGATTTTAGGCGGAAACCTTGACCCTTCCACGAGGAATATAAGTTCACCTTGCATTGGCCATCTCGCACTATCCTAAAATACCTACTGCAAGGAGATAGGGAAGCTTCACTTTTGCGAAATGTCATTTTGCGTAACGAAGTATCCACTAAGTAACGAGTAACGAGTAAGTTTCATTTGAGTAGCGGAGTATCCACTAAGCCCTGCCGCGGTGGTATAGTGGCTAACCTATACTCAGCTGCTGAACCGCAGGTCGCGGGATCGAATCCCGGCTGCAGCGGCTGCATTTCCGGTGGAGGCGAAAATGCTGTAGGACCGTGTGCTCAGATTTGGGTGGAAGTTAAAGAACCCCAGGGGTTCAAAATTTCCGGAGACCCCCCCACTATACGGCGTCTCTCATAATCGTATGGTGGTTTTGGGACGTTAAACCTGACGTATCAATCAATCAATCAAATGAACGGAGTATCCACTAAGCTTTCAAAAGGAAGTACGCGCACCTATTCAGCGGCGCACTTTCTTGATGTAGTTGCTGATGGTCAAGTATACTTGAACGTTTTGTGTGTGAAGCTGCACCTCTATGCCAACCATTCGTGACGGAACCCACATGCGAAGCGACGCTTCTCCCACAATATATTTCTTGTGTTGACGCGACGCTTCACATTATGCAGCACACATATACGACATCTTTTTTGCAAGCAGTCCGCCGCGGTGGAGCAGTGGATGATGGTGCTCGGCTACTGACCCAAAGGTCGTGGGTTCGATCACAGCCGTAATGATCGCACTTAAATGGAGGTGAACTAAGAGAGGCCCGTGCGCAATGCGATGTCAGCGCACGATAGAGAACACCAGGTAATCGAAATTTCCAGAGCCCTCCACTGTGGCGTCTCTGAATCATATCGTCGTTGTGGGATGTAAAACTCCACTCCAAGTATTATGCAAGTTTTCTGAAGCAATTACAAAGACTGGCATGGCTCTGTGGTATACAGCACCTGGCTTCCATACACGTTGCCCTGGTTCGATTCCGGCTCAAAGCCCCCATTTTGCGCTCACGCCTAACGCCCTATGACATTGAAAGTGAAATTTCAAGGACATTTTTTTTAACGCGATCCCATTCGAAGCTCATGATTAAACGTCACAGCACTTTCCCTTGTTACGCTGCTGCGTAGTCACTACACGCGTTATCAAGCAAAATACATAATTCAGCATTCCCCGCGCTGACAAGCAAACTGAGCTGCGCAGGTGTTCACAGGGGGTATGCGATTCCCGTAATATCTGCGCAGAAATTGCTGCTTTGGTATTTATTTCTCCTGTGCGTACACGTGCCATTAAAATAAACATGTTATAAAGAACGATAAACATTCGGCACATTTGTGTACATTACGACAGTGCAGCTGAATTTCTGAACCTAGCAATGACAAAACAAGACAGTATAGCACGAAGCATGTTTTGAAATACAGATGTCTATGAGCGCTGTCTCGTGGTTTCATTTTCGATTTCGCTGGCTTCTTCGAAAGCAGAAAAACATTATCATGCACCGTGTACAATTCGACAATACAATCCATGTGTCGCTTTGGAATGCCCACAATAACTTAAAGAAGCGCACTTGGCTCTGTAGTGAACATTAAAATTTTTACATAAGTATTCTTGCATATCTCTTTAAGCGCCATATAAGAAATTCTCTTAGGAGCGCCACTGACGGCAGATCTTACACCACTGCTTTCATTCAGTTGTTGTTAACCACTAGAACCATAGAAATAGTTGGTTCTAGTTACGTCAAACACCACATACATGAAGATACATTTAATATATTATAAATCAACCTTGAATCACCGACACCAACAACCAATCACTCTCGATAAACACTTATGCAGCAACAACACTTTTTAAATATTTTTTTCTGTTATCGATGCGTGAGTGGAATCCTCTAGACGCCTATAGGTGTTATAAACGACATTACAGAAAATTTTAAACCTCGCTGGGCCATTCATTCTTACACGAATCTACTTGCTTCACATTGTCGGATTGATTCCTAAATAAAATAACGTCCTGTTTCTTTGATGTTGTAGCACATTTTCTGTAACATATTATGGAACCTACGAAGCTGTAATACAAGCAAATGTATCTGTAACCTATGTATATTTCTGTATTGAGGATGTATGTTCTGGTTGCGTCAAGGCAAAATGTACAAATTTTACTGACGTATACGATTCCGTCTTCACCTACTTTTACACTGTAGCATTTACACGGTGTATTTGCTTGTTCTTTCTTTAAGTGCACCCACCCCTGCAAAAACTGATTTGCGGTTGACAATATACCAAAACAAAATAAAAATATTTGAGTGAGGAAGAGGTAACGGATAAGAGATTGAGAACTTAAGCTGCAGTGGGGCATCAGACTAGAAGTAGACGGGACGATCACCGTGCCGTCTTCTACTTTGGTGTCTCGACGTCATCATAGTTAATTTTCTGAGAGTTTTACAAAGCGAGTACTTTATGTATACCCACTGCACCCCTTGAACACGCGCTACAGAGAACTACGAGAAGCAGACCTGAGGTACACGTCTTCCATTGTGGTGACGGAGACAGTCATTTCCGCTATGCCGAGTTTGTCGCGAAAGCGCTCGAGCACTTTGAACATATCCACGAATCCTTCGGACGAGGTCACCCCCAGGGACAAGCGCAGCACTCCAGCACTTTCGTTCACCAGCTGGACGGTTGGCACGAACGTCTTCACTACCATTATGATGGCCTGCACGTCGCATCGTTTCAGTCGCTTCGAGATGTCCAGTTGATAGCCCGTACCTGCGCAAAGATTCGCGAGGATGGGACATTTTATTACTCTAAAACTGTAGGCTCAACAGAACACATTTGGTTCCCCGCAGGTTTCTTTGTGGTTTACCTAATTATATATTCCCTAAGCATCAGTAGTTCACTGGCACCCTTGGCCAGAAGACTCGAGTGAAGCTTGCGAACAGCGCGTAAACAGCAAGCTTGCGCCATCTATCGCTCGAGTGGTAGACCCACGCTACTTCATGCAGATGCACGTACGTGAATCCACGTGGTGGTTCAACGTATACGTGTGCACATGCTGCTCTTTTCGCGATCTCCATGCATCCCCATTACTAACGGTATGTCCATACCTGCTTAGCTCTGGTTTCTGTGGAGCGGCTACCCCGAGAGGAGGCCTTCTCCAAATCTGCCTAGAATGGGTGAAAGCACGTTACCGCGTCTTGATAACGGACTCAACGCTCACTACCACGCCGCTGATAGTGAGAACGGCAGTAGTGACGGGAACAATTAAGAGGTTATTGTACGCACACGAACCAAGGGCGAGGGTTAGTAAAGTGGTGGTAAAATTCTTGAGCGACATCGTAGAACAAATACTGTCCACTATTTGACTTCAAGCATGCATTACGGCCAGGATATCGCTATAACGTTCAACTCTTCAAGACAAAAATACAGGCCCCCCTTTTTTGTTTATGCAGGCCACCCCTGTTACTGGCTGCTGGTGTGCTCGAGGAAGTACAATCTACTTGAAATCAGTACTACTCACTGTAAAGAAAAAAAAATTGTGTAGCAATTGATGCATTTGTCAATCCCAAAACAAATGCAGCTCCCCCACTTGAGAACTGAGGAGGTGCGGCTACGGCACGGACACCCAGTAATTCATGTTCGTTGACTTCCTGCTCACAGTACCGTCGATGACGGCACTGTTTGAGGGAGACATGCACGGTTTTCTCGGCACGTGTACTAACGCACCAGGCAGATTCGTGAACTGGGTATCCGACATGGGAGCGACCTTTTGCTGCGTTTTATTGACTTCCTGTTCGTTACAGCATTTCAAATAAGTGTCGGCAGCAGTGTTGCCGTTTAGAAGGCGTTACAATTCAAGCCAAATGTAGCCAAATGAGCCGACGTCATTTAATATTAATGCCAAATTGGTAGTCCAAATAGAACGGAAGGGTTATCATGAACAGTCTTTAGTAATAGAACAGGATAATATAACGGAGAAATAGAACGGAAGACTAATTATTATGAACAGTATGTAGAATGGATCACTTGCTCCGTCTGATATTTTATGCGGCTCTAATTTTGGAATGGTACGATCAAACAACAAGCCAGTCGTGCAGCCTTAGTCGGCTGTTTCTCGCCGTATCATAGGCCGATGGAAAAGGGTGAGGGACCGATGTGGCAGACCCCGGGCTTTAATTTGCAGGGCGCCGTCAAGCACCCGTTTTATCTCCAGAGAGTTTCACTACCACCAGCCGAAGTTTACGGGACATGAAATGTTTGATAACGCTAAATTGCCGCATTGCCTGGGAATTTAATATTTAAATAAATGTTCCATGCTGAACTTATTCTGAATAGGACCGTAAGTTTTATTCTTTATTTTATTTGCTTCTTTCTCGAATTATTGCTCACGAACGTTTTTTCACTCACCGCCAACGGTGCCGACGCTGACGGCGAAATTCCTCTCTAACGCTATCTCGTTCATAGTCATGCTTAGAAAAAATTGGAAGATCCCACGTACAGTTGGAATCAATGATATGCGAAACACGAATGAGAATGGTTAATACGTCTATTTAAAATCAGCACAACGTTGCAAGGTGGAGGTAAATGATGCCATTCATTACTTCCATGTCATGCTTAGCATGTTTTCATATATCGTTTACCTTCGTCATCTATTCACGTCACGTGGTACCAAATTTAGTATAAGTGGAGCTAGCGACACGGCCGGGTGCACGCTATGAGCGCAGTATGTTGTCATATTCTTGCATGACACGCGCGTCAGGATTATCATGTTTCAACCAGTCATATATCTAGTCATTTATTGACGTCACGTAACACCAAATCTGGTATATGTGGAGCTAGCAATACGGCCACGAGCGCACCATGAAGGACCCAATGTGCTCAAATGTAGCGTTGACGCGCACGCACGCTGGGCACAGCGACGCTACGTTAGCAAAACGTGAGCACTCTATAGCCTGACGCCAGGCGCAAACAGCGCTCGTCGGCGCAGCCCGACCGCAACCAGCGCGAAATGCGACATGCTGCATTTCGCGCCGATGTGTTACCCAGACAACACTGCGTCTCCCTCTTTTCGCGACGGAGGCACACCGGACGCGCTGAAACGCGCATGCGTCAAGGCAACGCAGCGCGACGCGCGCCGGCCTGTATAGACCTATTTCATGTTTGTAAACACAGGTAGGCCGATGTCTACATTATAGGTAAAATTATAGCGGCGTCCGCACGTAACTTCCGCTATAATGCCTAGTTCACACTGAAACATCCGCTTTCTACAGCGACCGAAATTCCCCTGCCGCCGAAACGCAGCGTCGTTCGCACTGGACGCGCCCCGCGCCGCCGAATATGCCATCTACTACGGGGCGAACGCGGGATGGATGCGCTGTCACCCGGTTGTTGTCGCGGCTCGCAAACGCTACTACGCTATCCGGTGGTGTATACTTCAATGATCCTCGTATGCAAGAAGCAAGAAAAGACAGTACTGCTTACTTTGCTGGCAAGTGGCTGTCTTGTAGTTCACGTAGAGCAGAAAAACCACCGACGCCAGCGGCGTTGGTGGGTTCGTTTTGCTCTGCAAGACCGCAACAAGCTAGGTCACGCTAACAGCAAGCTCGGTCACCTCTTCCATGAAATACGGACGCGAAGTAGGCACAGAGTAGGTTAAACTCCCGTTGGTTTCAACATTCAGTTACGTGCACTGCGGCATAACAAGTGAGTAGGGCTTGGCCGCCATTTTTCAAAATTCCTTGACTAGCGCTCCTATTGGTCCGCGGTGACCGATTCGGCGGCAGACGCCGCAAAAATCGGTCCGAGAGCGATCGGCGCGGAGAGGGCCCTTTCGGCGGATCTCGCCGCCGCCGAACCGGATTCGGATCACTTTCGGCGGCCGGAATGCTCAGTGTGAACGCGGCCTAAGCGTTGAGGGCTGCGATGTAAGCCAAAAAACAAAACTATGTTGTGAGACGCGACTCACACCCAACCGCGACACAGAACATCGGTATACCGTCTTTTTTTAGATGCGGAGCATCTAATACTCGAGGCTTGTAGCGCGGCGCCGTCCGCAAGCTTCCTCCTCCTTCTTCCACCATCTGTGCATCCCTTCCTCCTCTACACACCGCGCGCGCTTCACTCCTCCACCATCTGTGCACCCTTCCTCCTCTACACACCGCGTGCGCTTCTCCTCTTCACGAACATTCGCTAGCTGTATAATGTAGCGCGCATGCGCCGTCACGCTTCGAGAACATCGGCAGCTGACGCGCGCGCATGCGCCGTCGCGCTTCGAGAACATCGGCAGCTGACGCGCGCGCATGCGCCGTTGCGCTTCTCCCCCTTCTCGAACATTCGACAGCTGACAGTGCATGCGCCGTCGCGCTGTATATATACTCAAGGTCGGTGCTCGCTCGCTCAGTTGCCGCTCGTCGGTTAGTTTGTACGGCGCGTCGACGTCCGAGGTCGCAATGATCGACGTCCCTTCGACCAGCGCCGGCCAAAGTGGCATCTAAAAGCCATCGTGCTCAAAGTTCGTCGCAATAAATAAACACCGCCCTTTCGCATACGTGTCGTACGTGTTCACTCATTTAACACACCTCCTACAACCACGTTAACCAATTTAGCCAGCGACCCAAGTAAGTCGCAATTTAACACCCCATTTCACAACCACGTTAACCAATTTAGCCATCGACCCAAGTAAGTCGCACTTTAACACCCCGTTAACCAATTATATGCTCCGCATCCTCCTCAGTGTTCCCCCGAGGGAAGCTGCGGGCAATTTTTTTTCCTCGTTGTTTGACTGGGAACACCAGATGCACCATTGAAAAACCCAGCAGAAACTGCGGTGGGCAGAGCATCTTTTGTCTAACAGCGCCACCACATTTTCGTGACGTACGACCGGTAGAACTAGTCTATATGGCAGGATCGGCGCCTGGCGTGGCAACGCCGTCGTGACGCGACGAAATAAACGCCGGCGAGAACGCGCACCACGTCATGTCGAAATGCATTGGCGCCTTGACTGTGGCATGAAGTCATGCTCTCACATGACACGCACCTCATGATTATCATGTTTGCACCAGTCACATACCTTTGTCATTCATTGACGTCACGTAACACCAAATTTGGCGTATGTGAAGCTAGCGAAACAGCCGCGAGCGCATCAAGAGTGTGGCATGTAGTCCTTCTGTTGCATGACACGCATGTCGTGATTATCATGCTTGGATGTGTCATTTACCCATGTCGTCCATTCGCGTTGCGTAATACCGAGTTTGGTTCATGTGAAGCTAGCAAAACGGCCGCCAGCGCGTTATGAGCATAGCACGTAGTCATGTTGTTACATGTCATGCATCTCATCATTATCATATTTGTACCAGTATCATACCTTCGTCTTCCATCCACGTCCCGTACTAGCAAATTTTATATAAGTGAAGCTAGCGAAACGGTCGCCAGCGCATTATGAGCGTGGTATGTAGTCATGTTACATGACACGCATATCATGATTATCATGTTTGCACCAGTCACATACCTTCGCCATCCATTCACGTACCATAATACCAAACTTGCCATATGTGACGCTGGCGAAATGGCCGCGAGCGCATCATGAGCGCGGCATGTAGTCATGTTACATGACACGCATGTCATGATTTTCATGTTAGGGTCTGTAGCTTGTGTTCGCCATGCAATCATGCCATACCATATCAGTTTTGCAACACGCCACGTGAATGAAACCACTGCAAGAGCTGCAGGGCCATGAAATGTAAATCATGACATTCATGACATACATGTCA